TTTGTGAGACTAAAGGGAATGGTGACAGACCATAACCCTAGACTCCACCCCGACCATACTGAGGTTTTCAGAGTCCCCCGAATAGGATTAGATTGGGAACTGGTTCCAACCCATTGCTGTAACGAAATTTTATACTGTGAAGGTGCAAGAAGCCTGCCCAAATAACCACATTAACACTGGAACTATACAAACCCTAAGCCGAATTCTGGAACACGTTTCTTTCGTAGACCCATCGTGTTGGTCGAGTGATCCAAAACTCACCAATTTACTTTATTCAAATAGACAAAAATCGGGATCACGAGGTCTTTTACTCGGTCGTGTCTGAGGGACCTCCACTCAACCTTTCAGTGAAAAGTTTCCGTTCCACGAATAGTTGTCATCGTTTATGCTTCCTGTGTCTGAACATTCACTCCCTCTTTTTCAAGACGCTGCCTAAATAATATCAGCTAGCGGTTTTCCTATTTTCCTACTAATAACTGCATTATATAGTACTCTGTAATTGGTCGGTAGATGAAGAACAGAAAAAGCTTGTTTGTACATCGTTGTTCCTGAAATAAATGCAAAAGCTTTTCGGTTTTGTAGATAAATCAGTTTGAGTGAAGTGACTAAAATCTCTTCAGATTCCTGGCAGGTAACACTAAAACAGCTCACCTAGGTCTTCGCATTTCTCGCTTTCGCTCAAAATCAATTAAACCACCGTCGGTGACGGGTTCACTTCGAGGATTCGATTCGCAACAGACCTGGAGGACCTTTTGACCCATTGTTTGTGATACAAAGTAATTATGAAGTTAGTTTACCACCATATTCATCGTATGCACGGTAATTACAAGTTGCAACCTTGATCATTAAACCTTTTCTACAATATCTTTCTCTGCGTTTTTGAGTGTGGAATGCTGTGATAGTGTTGGGTTGGCTCAGAACTCAATCACACGCTCACAGACAATCGAGAAACTTGGCAAATTTCGCTAACTGGACTGGTTCATCTCACGTAACTAGTGAATCTCTGCTGAAGCTTCGGCACGCAGAATTCCAGGGCGTCACGACACGACATGTTAGACCACAACTGGCTAAGCCAGCAGAGCAATCTTGATAAGCGATCAGTGCTAATGGATTTTGTCCCGTGGGATTGGTTCCAGCTTTTCAGCTAGCGCGTTTTAAACGACAGGCAAGTGACTTAGGACAGTTTATCACAGTCTAACAGTCTTTATGTCGTGCTTTTGGAATGTCCACCGAGGCACATGGACAGTTCGTGTCTCTTCCATTCCTGTGAATGAATTAGCTGTAAAGCTTTCCGAGTATCACGTAACTTCCTGTGTTAAATTTACCGAGAGGATCCTCACAGATCCGGACCACCCATTGCATGCAGAACTGACACTTTGTCATTCCCATCATTCAAC